AAGGTAAAAATAAAAACTAAATTTGATTAAATGTCATCAACTTAAGTATTCATTTCTGCATTCAAATCACTATGAAGATATTTATATGGTCATTCAAACCTTTTCAGAGAAACAAAGGTCACTTGACATGGGCATATGGACTGGTATTAATGTTACTTTTTTAGAATTAACTGACACACAATCAAATCTATATATCTATCTAGAATATAAGGTAAAATCTGTTTCAGTTCGTTAAAGTATTAATGCTATATACAGAGAAATTTTATAAGTTTCATATAAATAAATTTATTTTCCCTATTTATTAGTAAGTAAACAATAATTTTTTACAGCAAATATTTTGCAGGGTACAACCACAGTTAATTAATTATAGGTTGAACTAAAAGTTTGTTCAGTTTTTAGAGAGAAATAAAAATATATTAAATTAAACATTTTCAATGAAATCAAAGTATGTCAAACAAATATAAGTAAATATTATTTGTTTATTCTATTTATAACTAAAACTGCAATAATTTTATTACACACACACATACACTGACTGATCAAATATTAGAGAACCTACTGATAGCATTCCTAATAGCATACTAATAGTTGGCCCTCCTCCAGCATGAATGACAGCCTGAGCACACCAAAATATTGATTCCACCAGATGATGGAAGTATTGCAAACCATACCTGTTACATTATTGTCCATAACATTGCCATAGATGTAAGTACTGGCTTTGTGAATCTGAGGTGTCACTCAACAGAATCCTAGAGATTAAACCGCATTTAAATTTGGGAACTTTGGAATCTGGATGATTTGGAATTCTGATGAGTGTTCTTTGAGCCATGCCTAGGTAGTAGCAAGCCCAGTCTCATAAGGAACTCTTTGCCCTGCTCCGCCTATTGGCACTACAGGGTTTAAAGAGACTATGCCTTGTTCATCAACTGGTCGGTACCTGACGCAGTAGACAGGGACGTCATAGCTGGGCCCTATGATGCATCATTCGGACTCCCGTCCGCACCCGGCCCAGCTCACTAACTTGGCATAACTTTTGTATGTGCAGCCTGTACTGCACTTTGGTCCACACTACTAAACCTTTTATAGCTCACACATATATAGAATACTCAAACTAATACCTACGTATAGTAGATATACGGACAGCGGGGCCCTTACCCCAGAGGGAGGGGCCCAAATAAGCCAACTGGACTTATAGATCAAGAAGATCTATGATTTTTCCCATCAATTCCTTTAGTTTCTTAAGGTTCCCTTTACTAGCTGCTAGCGTTCGAAGTACTTGTTCAGGGGGCTTAGACCAGTCAACTTGGTCTGCCCCTAGGCGGAAGTCCCTAGTTAAGGGACAGTCAAGTACGTAATGTCTCGCGTCGCCGCGAGGACTACCACAGGGGCAGCTACCATCTCCCTGTCCGAATTTGGACTTGAAGTGGGGGAACCTCCCGTGGCCAGTTAAGACTTGAGTCGACAACGAGCAACAACTTATCGGAGTGAGGCCAACTACAGGCACGAAGGCGTAGGTTGACCTACCTACTGTACTTGGGGTCCAGCGCTCTCGCCAGCTTATCATCGATCTCTGCAGTAGAGTACCTTTTATGTATGTAGTCGAGGGATCTACCATCCTCGTGCAAGCCCAGTGGGACAATACATTGTGTTGGGAACTGCATCATCTCCTTGAGAATGCATGACGACCACAAAATGGTGTAGGTAATTAGCCAGCACGTTCTAGTAGCTTGCATCATTTAAGGACTCTGTAGACACACTAAGGGACTTCATAAAACTCATGAGACAGTACAGGTTACTGTCTCAAGTTTCATGAAGTCAAAGAGCCCTTTGCCTTGAACAGAATTTGGCAAGATTTGTCCATGGCTTCATGTTCAAGCCTACTTCCTTTCATCAGTCCAATGCAGCTGGAAATGGGATTCATCTGATTACATAACTCACCAACATTCTGCAGAGGCCCAGTTTTGATGTTCCCAGCACCAGCCAAGATACAATATCCAATTTAATGGAATCAGCAGTGTGACATGAGACTACAACATTTGATTTCACAGCCAAGAGTATGTAGTGTGCTCCTTACCATCTGCTTTCTTACATTACCTGAGGCCTGGCATTATACTGGATGTGATCTGTGCTACCACTTCCCAGTCACAGTCTTTACTGGCCTGGATAACCTTTGCCATCCTGATCGTTAGTGATGCATGGGTAGTCACTGTTTGCTCAGTGAGTGCTGGTACTTTCACAAATAGTATATTCTTGTTAGGCCCTTGATACATTTACCCTTAAAAATCATGGTGTTATTACTACTTCAGAGAGAGAATGACCTGTCTATCAACAATACATTCATGATCAAAGTCACCAAGATTGCTACATTTATCCATTTATGTCAATTGTGATATATTGCAGTGGAAGCTGAATGTTTACCTATATAATATACCAGGGGTGGCCAACCTGCGGCTCGCGAGCCACATGCGGCTCTTTGAAAGATTATTTGTGGCTCTCGATAAATGTACTGTACCCGAGTTCCCTTTTCATTTTTGTGTTATTATATTTTAAAAAATTATTATCGTCTGTATGTGTTTCAAAATGTCTTTTAAATTACTAACAACAAATATGAAAGACTAAGTGCAACGTTGTAACAAATTTCATTTCCATCCAAGTTAAGAATGATATGACTCGTTTTTTTGATGATATGAAACCGTGCTTTGCTATTTGTTTATGCTTCTGACACAATATAGTGCTATAAATTAAGACACTTGGCGGATTTTCTCATCTTTATTTAGTTGATACGTGTGGAAAAAATTACACGTTTCGAGCTCTTAAGCCCCTCTTCAGTCAACTATCCATACAGGTTTTATAAATTAAAGTAGCAGTTTACTTTCGATATTTTTTCAGCAACATCAGCTTATTCACAGTATTTTTTCTTGTAGCCTACTATAATATTAGGAGAGTATACAACATATCTATACAAAACTATACATAAGTTTTATAGTATCTATAAAACTATATTCAATTAAGGCATACCTTGAGTACGGCTGTTATTAAGGTTGTACTGTACAAAATTGATTATACCTTTTACTTATAAAACAGTCTTACAAAATCCTTGGTCTAAAATATACCTTAGACAACAATTATCAAATTGGTATACAATTGATTATGCTTTTTACTCATAAATCTGTTTTACTAAATCCTTATTTCCTTTGATAAGCATTGACAATATAATACGAATTTACATAACTTCTACAATATAAATTTACATATCTGACATCTACTATATTTTTACAATATATGATTGTTGATTTATTTAACATTACAGTATTTAATATTATAGATTATTATATGAACTAATGACATTACAATGTCTTGAGGTTGGTAAACAGGATTAACATTTAATATAAATTTACATATTATTTGATTCCCGTTACAACATTACAGTTTTTTGTTATTGTTGATTTATGTAACAGTTCAATCGTTATTATTAATTAGCACATTGATCACAATAATAATAGTTTGAATCTAGTGAATACAATTAATATAAAATTTTTAACCAGTTTTCGTTTATTGAGATGCTAGGATTTTTATTTATACTATTTTGATTTTTGATTATTTCTATACTTTCCTTGAATTTTCTTTTGTATGTATCTCTTTCTCTGTGTAAGATATCTATATTATTTTTATCTATATTACAATTATTCAAAAGGCAGTGTTCATGAAAAGCAGAATTTAGTCTACGATATTTCAAATCGGCTATATGTTCTTTCAATCTTACTTTAACTTTACGTTTAGTT